AGCCACTGGGTCCAGGACTTGACCTGCAGTGGACTACATGGGAGTCCAGTGACATAGCCATTACACCAACTCTTGGTCCCCTTGGTTTTAGATTATCTAATAGCTGGAATGTTCCCTATCTGCCTGCCTACATGACCCAGGGCAAAGGTTTTTTTGTTTTGTTTTGTTTTGTTTCTCTTTTACCTTGCCTTCATCCTAAAAGCTCAGGAGTTCAAATAATACAGAAGACATACCCATGTTTCACTTGGACCAGTTTAAGTGTCATAGGGTTTAAGACAGCATAAGGTAGAGAAACAACAGTAAGTATAAACATGTGCTACGTGGGAGCCAGCAGATAATGTGGTTAAGGCACTGAACTTCCACATGGTTGACCACAGTTCCAATACCAGATCTGGTGACTTGAAACTCATGCTGGGCGCATGTACATGCATGCCCAAAATCCCAAGAGAAGAAGGGATTGTGGCGTAGTCATTTTGCATTGGGAGGTGGTTTCTCACTTTCTGTCTCTATCTCTCTAGCACGTGTACACACCCTATAGCAAAAACCTCCCTCAAAAAAAAAAAAAAAAGATAACAATAACACAACCCATGTGCTGTGTGTTCAGATAGAACTGGGTTTCTTTTTTTTTTTTAAATAATTATTTTATTTATTCATTCATTTATTTTAATTTGACCAGAGAGAGACTCAGAGAGAGAGAGAGAGAGAGAGAGAAAGCAAGCCACCAGGTCCAGAACTTGAACCAGGGTCAGCCATGTGGAAGGCTACATGGTCATGTAAAAGGGGATATTGGTATCTCCAAATCTGAAGAAAAAACTACTAAATCAGAGATTTTATAGCAATACATATGAAGGGGCTAGTAGTAGGAAAGGGGCAGATGTAAAAAGTATTGTGAAAAAAGAGCTAGATAAGCTGGTGAATCATTGGATGTAGAGGGAGAGTATTTTCAAACTTCTATCCACTATCAAACTTCTATCCTTTCCTGTACTCTGAGCAAACAGGACTCATCCAGCGCCTTAACCACCATGCCACCCGCTGGTCCCAGAACTGGATTTCTTACTGTTCCTGTTTTACCTGGGAATGGTGTGATTTTTCTGAGTTTGTTTTTTCATCAATAAAAGAAGTATCATAAGGCTATTTCAAGACTTCTGAGGTATTGGGTGTTAAATGAGATTACTTTATGAAGTGCTTAGTGCTTGACTGGTGATCATAATATATGTAAATTTGTAAAGAATGCCTCCACTGTCCCCACTACCACCAAATGTGAAATGTTTTGACAGTGTTTTACCTCACTTTGTCAAATTGAAAAATATTGTTCTTAATAAATGTCATAAACATGTTTACATACAACTTGTTTTTTGAATAAGTTTTTGTTCCAAAGAATTATTTTATCTAATTTTATTTATTTATTTTTAATTTGACCAGAGAGGGGCAAAGTGAAAGAGAGGGAAAGTGAGAAAGCAAACCATCAGGTCCAGGACTTGAACCATGATTGGTCATGTGGGAGTCCAGGGCCCTTAACCACCTGCCAGCCCCTTGAATATGTTTTTAAGAAAAAAAAAAATTAAAGGTTTAAAAACATGTTTTTACCTGAAAATCAAATTGTTTGCACGTGTTTGAAAGAAAGGTAGAAGCATGGATAGCTGGCTATCTAAGTTTTAGCATGAAATCCTGGAGCAGAGCATCAGCTCTGTGTCTCTCGGAGAATGCCGAACTGAGTTTTCTGCAACCACAAGCCATCAGGTGATTCCAACATCATGTGGACTGGAGGAAGAAAATTTTGCTGGCAGAGATAACTACTGGGGATTGGCAGCTGCTTAAGCAATGAGAGACTGACCAACTGACCCTGCTCCATTAAATCTACTGTTCCCCCACCCACCAATGAGCACACTCTTAGTCTATTGAGTAAAAATGAAATGTGAATTTCTACTGGTCAAATTGTGTGATCAGGCGACCAGCAGTTGGTATAATGGCTATGTTGCTGGACTGCCATATAGTGGACCGCGGTTCGAATTCCAGACCCGGTGGCTTAAACTTATGCTGGGCACGTGTGTATGCGTGCCCCAGATCCTGAAAGAATAGAGTAGAAGGGATTGCAGCATGGCTAATCCCCCCCCGGGGGGGGTGATTTCTTGCTTTCTGTCTCTGTCTCTCTCTTTCTGGCGTGCACATGTGCCCTATACAAAAAAACCAAAAAAAAACAAAACAAACAAAAAAAAAATTAAAGAAAAAAAATTGTGTGATCAGTAGTTTTTCCTTTTATGACCTATACTCTGACAGCCTGACAGAAGGGGTTTTTACAGTTAACCTTTAGTTAATACAGTGATGGCTAAATACTTGTTCTTCCCCACACAGGATGGATAAATCCTAAATCTCAAGACAGGATGGAAGCACAATTCCTTCTACGACTTTCCTTAGTTAGTATTCCACATTTCATCTACAATCCTCAAAGACCTGCTTTGTTTTTCAAAGCACACTGACTGGTAGAGCCCTTTACTCCCTGAGTACATCTCAATTTTCTGTTTATGTCAAGGCCTAGAATATAGACTGTTAACTGCACTTGCTATCTATGAGGGCTAATCTGAATAAAATGTAACTGCTTCAGTTCTGCTTTCTGTAAATACCTGTTCAAATTGTCATTAGAGTTCTCTCCCAATCACTCCAAGCTTTCATCAGGCACTTGGTTCTTACTCCTTTCAGCACTTAGTAGTCTGAAGGCTTCAGTGACAACTTATTTTCACTGTCAAAGGCAGAACTTCAAAGAGCTAGTTGAATGTAATAAGAATTCAGGTTCTGGTCTAGAGTCAGAGACCTGGGTTCAAATGGCACTCCATCATGTTGGACAAACTTATTTTTCTATATACAGAGGGTGTGCTCACGGGAGAAAGAGGGAGAAAGAGAAATCACCCTCCAGGTGGGGGTGGCCACACTGCAATTCCCTCTTCATTTTCTCAGGATTTAGGGCACACATGGACATGTGCCCAGTGTGATTTTCAGGCCACTGGGTCCCAGACTTGAACCATGCAGTAGGCCTCGTGGGATCCAGCTACCTTAACTTCCACACCAGCTGCTAGCCCCAGGGCAAACTTTAACTTAAACCTCAGTTCCTTATCTCTCAAGTAGAGAATAACAGTATTTGGTGTACAGTTGGCTGCCAATATTAAATGATACTGTAAATATAAAATACTAAATTGCCTGGGACATTTTAAACATTTAGTAAAACTTACCTATTATAAGGATCAAAGAATGTGAAAGTAACCGCTGAGAGGGGAGGGGTGCAAGAAGACAATTTTTATTTTATAATTTGGCCTATGGTAGACCTATTTACCTTCAAATAGGAGAGAAGCAAAAAAAAATTGTTCTTGGGAGACCAGCAGATGGCATAATGGTTGCATCTCTGGCTCCCATGTAGTCGCCCACGGTTCAAGTCCCAGACCTGGCGGCTTAAAACTCAAGCCGGGCATGTGTGTGTGTGTGTGTGTGTGTGTGTGTGTGTGTCCAAAATTCCAAAAAGAATATGGAGGAGAAGGGATTGCAGCATAGCCATCGCCCCTGGAGGGGGAGGGTGATTTCACACTCCCTGTCTTTCTGGTAAGTGCACACACCCTACAGCAAAAATCTCTCTTAAAAAAATTGTGCTTGGGGAATCAGCAGTTAGCGTAATGGCTATGTCGCTGGACTCCCACATAGTCAACCGCGGTTCACGTCCCGGACCCAGTGGCTTAAACCTCACGCCGGGTGCATGTGCGTGCATGCCCAAGATCCTAAGAGGGGAAGGGATTGCGGCGTGACCATCCCCCGTGGGGGGTGATTTCTCGCTTTCTGTCTCTACGTCTCTCTCTGTCTGTCTGGCGAGCGCACGCGCCCTATAGCAAAAACCTCTCAAAAAAAAAAAAAATCGTGCTTGGAGTTTTTGAAAAGGAAGGGACTGTACTGTCAGTCAGATTTGTTGAATGATTACCACACAGCCTGGGACTAGAGCATGAATGAGGCATGACTGCCTAAAGATTCTTGGAGTCTAGTTTCTCCTTAAGTAAAGCTTTGGTAGTTATTGTTAATTTTATATGGATGTGGTAAAAACAGGAGAAATTCTGAAAGAGTGCATGTCTGTTAATTTCTAATGATAGGGTTAGAAAGGACCATAAGAAGTCTGTCAGCCTTGTCTTCAGATTGGTGAAAATCTGGAAGAAAGGCTTTATAAGGATCACTGATAGTACCATATTATCCTAATACTTATTGTTTCAAATCTAAAAGATAAATACTATGGATAATTTTAATTTAAATAAAACTTTTGGTATGGTTGTATTTCCAGTTCATATGATTATTTTCTAATATTACAAAATTCCTTAAATCCCAACACAAATGAAATATGCCAAATAATGGTACTAACATTACATCAGGATTAAAAAGCAGGTTTTCAAAAACCAAATAACATGGGAAAATGCCTTATGATAAATGAAAAAAGGCAGGCCTACATATAACATGGTTCTAATGTTATTAGGAATAGAAAAGTATATAGAAGGAAAACCAATAGGTAGAAGGTAAGATTGCAAGTAAATTTATTTTTGCTCGAAGTCCTTTTGAATAAAACAAACATTTCAAAGAAATGACTCAAACTCTTAAAATACTTAGTACTTAAAATACTTGAGGTTCATAGTACCTTAGTTTTCATTTTAACATAAGTCACATTAAAAATCCTTTAGATTACGTGGGCTACACCACAAAACAGATAGGGGCACAAGAATAAAAGTGGTAACAAAAGGAGAAAACTTTAAATACTAATTTAACTCATATTGTAGTATAAATGACCATGTATCCCTGCCTGTAAAGACTAACTAGAGCTCAATAAATAACATGTATAAATCGAATTCTGGTGTATCACTAAATCATACCTTGAAAATAGCTATAAGCTTGAGAAGGATCAACTATTTTGTTTGAGATCGAGTTCTGTGATTCCTGAGAATGTTTTTCCGTCACTTCTGCTGTATCATTGGATGAGGAAGATGAAGATAATCCCAATCTAACATATCTTCCTTTTTTACCACAGAGTGAACAATCTACTGGCGTGGCACTAGGTCCCCGGGGCAGCTGAACTTCATCTCTGTTGTAGTTTCTGACAGCTCCACTGTGATGCACAGAGCGTTCTCGTTGCCAGATATAATGGGTTGGTGCAATGGCCATAACCTATTATGGAAAGCTTACTTTTAAAGTTTTATTAATTAAAAAATTTAATATAAAAATTCTAACTCAAAAATAGCTATCTCTAAAACAGACATCCAAGTTACCAATTAAAAAACAAACTTCATGGGACCAGCAGTTAGCGTAATGGCTATGTCGCTGGACTCCCACATAGTCGATTGCAGTACGCATCCCGGACCCAGTGGCTTAAAACTCACGCCGGGCGCATGTGCGTGCATGCCCAAGATCCCGAGAGGAGAATGGAGAAGGGATTGCAGCGTGGCCATCCCCCCTGGGGGGTGATTTCTTGCTTTCTATCTCTCTGTCTGTCTGTCTGGCAAGCACATGCACCCTATAGTAAAAACCTCTCAAAAAAAAAAAAAACATAACTTCAGATAAGGCAGTACTACTATAACACGATTTATTGCTTGAATCATTAGGAAAATAACTGACAAAGTAAATTATTTAGAACAGGGAATAGAACTGAAGTAATTTTCCATTTGATCAGGGTATTTATTCTTAAATTCTGAATATTCTAAGTTTGGAAGAGATAACCTAGCCCAAATGATACTTAATTCTTTGAAATATCCTGGATTAAAAATATTTAATGTTAGTTATTTAAGAAATCAAGTTAGGGAAGTTTACCTATGTGCTAACCTCACGAAATCTAAAATTTCTACTTATTCTAGGCAAAAATCTTTAGTTGCAGTTATCAAAGACCAAAGTAAGTGAGAATTGTATTTGAGAGCTAGACAGAGCCTTCTTAAATGCCTAAACCAGTGATTTACAAACTATTTTGAGAGCCCTAAAGTCTCAGAGGTGAATTAGGGGTCCAAGGAGAAGCAAAAGGTGGCAGAGCAGGTCAATTTAGGGAATTGTATATATAGTTCTCAAGCACTGCTTTATAAGGTTTATTTACAACATGGTTTTAGACTTAAGGTAGACTTAGTTTCTTATTGAGGTTCTGCAGCTTACCACCTAAATGATAATTGGCAGGTTATTCAACCTTTCTGAGGCTTAATTTTTTCATCCTAAAATGGTTATATTAGCTACCTCAAGGTTGTTTTGAGGATTAGATGAGATATGAGTAAAAATTTGTATCGCATAGTAAGCAAATGATAGCCATTTAAAAAGTCAAGGTAGGGGGGACCAGCAGTTGGTGTAATGGCTTTGTCACTGGATTCCCATGTAGTCAACCACGGTCTGAGTCACGGACTCGGTGGCTTAAACTCATACCAGGGATGTGTGTGTGCATGCCCAAGATCCTGAGAGGAGAATGGAGGAGGAGGGATTGCGGCATGGCCATTTCCCTTGGGGGCTGATTTCTTGCTTTCTGTCTCTCTGTCTTGCTGGTGAGTACACATGCCCTATAGCAAAAGCCTCTCCAAAAAAAAAAAAAAAAGAAGTCAAGTTAGGGAAGTGTACCTATGTGTTGGTCTCATGAAATCTAAAACTTCTATTTATTCTAAGCAAAAATCTTTAGTTGTTTTTCATTTTCAGTACAGTATTCAATGAGTTACATGAGATATTCAATACTTTATTATAAAATAGGCTTTGTATTAGATGATTTTTGTCCAACATTAGGCTAGTATAAATGTTCTGAGCACATTTAAGATAGTCTAGGCTAAGTTATGTGTGTATTAGATGCCTTTTTTATTATTATTGGTTTTTGTTTTCCAAAGAATCGTCTAACTTTATTTATTCGTTCATTCATTTAATTTGACCAGAGAGAGACAGAGAAAGAACAAGAGAGAGAAAGTGAGAAAGCAAGCCACCACGTTTGGGACTCGAACTGTGGTTGGCCATGGGGGAGCGTCCAGTGCCTTAACCACCACGCCACCTGCTGGTCCCCTTATTATTGTTTTTTAGAGGTTTTATGCCCTGTGGTCCATGTGCTTGTCAGAGAACAATGGTCAGTCATGTGGGAATGTCCAGCACCTTACCACCATGCCACCTGCTGGTCTTCTAGCTGCTTTCTAAATTTTTCTTTCTTTCTTTCTTTTTTTTTTTTTTTTTTTTTTTTTTTTTTAGTTAGATTTTTTTTTTTTTATTTTTTTGAGATAGAGTTTTTGCTATATAGTGCATACGCTCACCAGAGAGAGACAGAAAGTGAGAAATCACCACCCCCCCAGGGGAATGGCCACACCGCAATCCTTTCTCCTCCATTCTCCTCCTCTCAGGATTTTGGGCATGCACACAAACGTACCCAGTGTGAGTTTAAGCCACCGGGTTCGGGACTTGAACCGTGATTGACTACATGGGAGTCCAGCGATGTAGCCATTATGCCAACTGCTGGTCCCCTGCTTTCTAAATTTCTGATTTGGAATCAACTGGCAGGTAAATGGAGAACTCAGGTATGATGATATTGTGGCTACTAGGCCAGAGTACAAAGAGAAAAGTTTCCTCTTGATTAAATTGCTACCTTTGTGATGCATGTAAAGAGCTGGAATTAAAGTCTAACTCTCATTATGAGACAGGCATCCTTCAAATCTGTGAACCAGTCTAGAAATTATACCATCACCAACATAAACAAATTCCACTTCAAAGGAGATGATGTCCAAAAAGGTAACCTTATCAAAAATAAGATAGTAAGAACAGAGTAAGGAAATATTCTTTACTCTTTTTTGAAGAAGCCTTCCATATATTATTCAATTTAATCACACCCTAATCTCTTTCCAAAAGAAGATTTGAGGCATCTGACAAAAAGAAAAAATAAATTATTAAACAGATCCAAACAGAAAATTGGCTAAAGGGGAAAAGCAGATATGCTAGTAATAAAATGCAATAGCATTGATCTATTAAGGATAATATCTAGCTCTTAGTTTCTGACAGCCAAAGTTAGAAATAGAAAAGAGACGATTTACAAAACTCGTTATTATCTGAAAGGAGAGCATATATTCTTTCTTTGGAGGTGATTTATAATGGGAAGGGTGCTGAGTATAAGTATAGCTGGCCCTGCCACACATTAATTTCATAGTCATGAGCAAGTCATAACCATTCTAAGTCAGTTTTTTCATCTATGAAATTGAAAAAGTATTTATGCTATTTAATTCATAAGATAAAATAAGATTTAAATACATTTTATTTTCTTTTTTAAAGTTTTTGCAATAGGGCGCATATGCTCACTGGAGATAGAGAAAGTAAGAAATCACGCCCTAGGAGGGATGGTCATTCTGCAATCCCTTCTCCAGTCTCCTCTGGGATTTGGGGCACACATTCACATGTGCCCAGCATGAGTTTCAAAGTCACTGGATCTGGGACTTGAACTACATACAGTCAGCCATGTAGAAGTACAACGCCTTAACTACTATGCCACCTACTAGCCTCCTAAATACACTTTCTAAACTAATTGATATGAGGGGTTTAGAATGGAGGCTAGTTGTCAGAGAGAAAACAGAACACTGAGGGGCCAGCTGACCACCCTGGCTCTTCTATAGACTGGTTATCAGCAGCTGAGGTAATTCCAACAAGAGTAGTATATGGTAACATTGTTGCATTAAAATAGTTACTGTGTCTTGGGAGTGGTTGGGTAGACACCCTGAGGTAAGCCACTGGCCCATGCTGGTCTTTTGCTTATGCAGCCTGCTCTATGCTCTTAGCTGATAGTTCAAGGTCCCAAACAGCATTTATTTGGAAAAAATTTGAGTGCTCAAATATTACCCACTATCATGTCCAAGGACAGGTATGGGTACATAAATTACCCTGGGGGAGGGGGTCTTTTACATCAAACATTTAATCTTTTTCTATTGAATTTAATCTTATATGAAGTTAGCCTATTGTGCAGTTTTCTAAATTATTTCTGAATCCTTGTATTTCCCTCATTAATAAACAATCCTCATAATTCAATACACAAATACATGCATTATCTGTGTTCATCTCATTAATAAATACATTTAATACGATTTGTTCTAGGCAAAATTCTGTGACACACCACCTGAAGTCTTCCTTCAGGTTTGACACTCTCCTATTAATTGTCTCTTTTGGCCTGTAGTCACTTAACTAGGTATGATTTCATTTAATTACAGCATTATCTAGTCAACATCTATCAAAATTTCTATGAACTAGTACTGGCATTTATAGTTATCTCTGCTTCCCACATCATTTTCTACTCTACAATTTTTCTTTAGCTTATAACATTAACTTTGTTTAAAAATAGTATATTTAATAAAATAATTGATTTAAAAATTTTTGGTGTCCTGCTGGCTTATGTTAATAAAATATAGTATCAATGAAACAAAACATTCTATGCGAAAAAAAGGAATGTTTCTTTTTTCTTAAAGTATTTTTTAATTATTTAATTTTATTATTATCATTTTAAAATTTGCTATGGGACATGTGCACTCAACAGAAAGATACAGAGAGAGAGAGAGGGAAAGTGAGAAAGCAAGCCACCAGATCTGGAACTTGAATTGCGATTGAGCATGTGGGAGTCCAGTGCCTCAACCACCACGCCACCTGCTGGCCCCTGAGGACTGTTTTTTAAACATGTTTTAATTTATTTAAATTATATGCTATTCAATTAGTATTTCAATATTAGGAACCTGAAATTTTAGATTTTATTTCATGGGAATTACTACTCAACTCCAGAGTTATTATCAACCTCAATAAGAAATTTTGCAATGTTCACACCACCCATTCCTAATATACTGGAGATCTTTTTAGATAGGAGAAACACATTAAAATACAAATACTATAGAAGTGAGCTCTTCTGAAAAACAAAAGTGACAATTTTCTTTTTAATTTTAATTGCCAGTAAGTGTGTGTCCTTGCGTGCAAGAGACAAAGTGCATCCCCAGTAAGACACGGTCATACCACAATAAATTTACCCTCACTTTTCCATCCCATTAAGATTTTGGGTACACATGCATATGGAGGACACTTTTTTAAGCCACTAAGGCTGAGACTTGAACTGTGATTCAGTTCTCTACACATAGGGCTTTACTACTGTTTTTAATTATTTGGGTACAAAATTAAAACAGCAACATTGTGATATGTAAGTTGTATTCATGGTAATGATCAAGGTTAATGGTCTACCATTAAATATACAAAAAAATTGGAACATTAGAAACACATTTAAAAAGACAAGGAAAACTAAATAAACAGAAGACAAAGATTACATATATAAAAAAACATTTTAAAATCCTTACCTCCTCACAGCATCGTCTGCTTACAATAGCCCTATAGTCAATTCTATCCCACAGCTGGTCCCTTAACTTTAAGAAATTAGGAAACAATTTTCTCCAGTTTTTCCCTAATGCCCATGGAAAAATTTCATACTTGGATTCTTCCTCATCTTCTTCAACTGTATTAGCCAGATACCTAACAAAGAAGACCAACAACCCAAAAAAGAAATGGGTAAAGAACAGGAAAAGGCAGGTAGCTCATTTAAAAATAAATAAATAAATAAGGAGAAATACAAATGGCTTACAAGTACACAAAAGATGTTCACAATTTGAAAAAATGCAGATCAAAAATAGAGATACAATGAATTTACCGTGTTGGGTTTTGGGTATTTTTGTATTCCTAAACATCTTTTTTTTTTTTTCCCCCACTGAGAGAGATTTTTGCCATAGGGGATGTGAGCTTGCCAGAAAGAGACAGAAAGTGAGAAATCAACCCCCAGAGGGATGACCATGCCACAATCCCTTCTCCTCCATTCTCCTTTTGGGATTTTATGCACACACGCGCTCAGCGTGAGTTTCAAGCCACCAGGTCTGGGACTTAAACTGCAGACAGCCATGTGGGGGTCCAGTGACATAAGCCACTACACCATCTGGGGGTCCCAGTATTTCAATAACTCTTAAGCATTGTTCTGGGCTATAGTTACGTTACTTAGAAACAATCTGAATTTTTTAGGTCTTGGCTTTTATGATTTGATGGACTGGGAGCAATGTTCAGTCTGAGGTTTATTTCCCACAGCTGAAGGACGATATCTCTGAGTATGCTTTTAAATACTCCATAAACTGAATTTTTTTTCATTCTGGCAGGTGTGAATAGGCACTACTGAAGCCTTACGTAAATTAAAGAAACTACCTGAGTTTGGCAATAAGAAATCAAGGGAAACTAACATTTACTTAGGGCTGCAATAAACATAAGGAAATCAGTATTCTGTATAACTTGCAGGGGCACCAGGCTACATAGTTACATGAAAACACAACCCACAATAAGGAAAATAATCGATTAATCAAAAACAACTCCAAAGTGATACCTGTGGTAGACATAGCAGACAAGGGCATTAAAACAGTCATACTTACTCCATTTGTTCCAAAAGTTAACTAGACACATTGAAAATGTACTTCTAGAAATGAAAACTACAATGTGTACAATGAAAACTAAACTGAAAGGATTAATGGCAGATTAAATACTGTAGAAGAAAAATGTGTGAATTAAAGACACAGCAATAGAAACTATCCAAATGAAACACACGGAAGAAAAAAAATAATAAATAGAGCGTCATTTAGATGTGGGACAATGTCAAGAAATCTAAAAAAAGGTAAAATAGGAGTTTCTGAAGGGCAGTAGTAGACAGAAAAATGTTTGAAGAAATAATAGTGAAAAAATTTTAAATTTAATAAAAACTATAAATCTACAAAGAAACTCAATGAATCCTGAAGAACAAGAAACATGTAGAAAATTACACCAAGGTACATTAATTGAATTGTTCAAAGCCAGTGATAATGACAAAATACTAAAAACAGAAACACACACACACACACACACACACATTAAATAATACAGGAACAGGGCTAGTGGGTGGCATGGTGGTTAAGGCAGCTGGATCTCACATAGCTGACTGTGCTGTTCAAGTCTCAGATCCGCCAGTTTGAAAAACATGCCAGGTGTGGCGAGCATGCCCAAAGATCTGAAAGGAGGGACAGAGAAGGGATTGTGATATGTGACCATTCTCCACAGGGGGGTGCTTTCTCACTTTCTCTCCCTCTGTCTCTCCCTGGCAAGCATATGTGTTCTCTGGCAAATTAAAAAATAATAATAATAATTCAGGAACAAAGATAAAGATAGAGCAGATTTCTCATTAGAAAGAATGCAAAATTCACAGATGACTTTCCAAGAAAAATGGGCAACTTACAATAAAAAATATTACAAAATACATAAGGGAACAAGACACCATGAGCAGAACCAGACCGTGAAGTCTGAAAACACTGGAATAGACACAGAATATAAAATAACTATATCTAATATACATAAATGAATTAAAAGTATTTTGAGGGACCAGCAGATGCCAAAATGGTTACATGGCTAGACTCCCACGTAGTCAACCATGGTTCAAGTCCTCGACCCAGCAGCTTAAAACTCACACTGGGCACAAGTGCATGTATGCCCAAAATCACCAGCAGGTGGTGTGGTGGTTAAGGTACTGGACTCCTACATGGCAGACCATGGTTCAAGTCTTAGACCTGGCAGTTTGCTTTCTCACTTTCCCTCTGTCTCTCTCTCTCTGGTGAGCAAATAAAATAATAATTATAATAAATAAAATAAAGAATTCTTTTTTAAAAAATCCCAAGGAGTATGGAGGAGAAAAGACTGTGGCATGGCCATCTCCCCTTGGGGTTGATTTCTTGCTTTCTGTCTCTCTGTTTCTCTGGTGAATGCATGTGCTCTATAGCAAAAATCTCCCTTAAAAATAAAGTATCTTGGGGCCAAAAAGTGGCATGGTGGTTAAAGGCGCTGGACTCCCACATGGCCGACCATGGTTCAAGTCTCAGACCTGGTGGCTTGCTTTCTCACTTCCTCTCTCTCTCTCTCTGTCTCTCTCTGATCAAACTGGAAAATAATAATGATGATAATAATAAATAAAGTTAAATAATTTTTAAAAAATAAAGTATCTTGACAATATGACAATGGGATACATTTGAAAAATAAAAAAATTCTATAGATAATATAAAAATAGGGTAAGTATAATTGAAAAATTAAAAAAACAGAACTTCTATAAATAAAAAAGTTAAATAAAATTAACTAACATGTTGGACATAAGATGATTCAATTAGTGAACTGAAATAAATCTAAAGGGGGCAGTAGGGGATGTGGAGTTTAAGGCACTAGATCCCTCATGGGCAGCTATGCAATTAGAGTCCCAGACCAGTGGCTTGAAAAACAACTTGAGCATGTGTGCATGCACACACAAATCCTGAGAGGAGACTTGGAGAAGAAGGGAATTGTCCCTTGGGGGATGATTTTTCAATTTCTCTCATTCTCTATCTCTGCCTCTTTCTTGCAAGTACACATGCCCTATAGCAAAAACTAGAAACTAAATAATAAATCTAAAGAAACTGCCCAAAAAAGAAGTAAAACATTTAAGGGACAGAAAAACGGAAAACTGTATGCTAATGATAACTTGTATGTTAGTATCTTTGACTGAACCAACATACAGTGTATTCATACTGGGAAAATTCATCTTGCATGCTGCAGTGATATACAGTGATTGAATGTATTACAAAATAAAAATTAGGGGCTGGCAGGTGGCATGGTGGCTAAGGGCCCTGGACTCCCATATGGCTGACCGCAGTTCAAGTCCTGGACCTTGCGGCTTGCTTTCTCTCTCTCTCTCTGTCCCTCTCTGGTCAAATTAAAATAAATAAGTAAAGTTAAATAATTATTTTAAAAATTTAAATTAAAAAAGTGGTCTAAAAGGCAGTTCAGAGAACCAGAGACAGAGAGTGTCAAAGATAAGGGATATGGAAGACAGTATAACACATTTAATTGTTTTCAAAGGAGATAATAAAGGAGATAGGGGAGAGGAATAGTTGAAGAGATAGTGCCTAGAATTTTTCTTTTTTAAATTTGCCAGAGGGCATGTATGCTCACCACAAAGAGAAAGAGAGAGAGGGAAAGTGGCAAGGCATTCCCCCCACCCTTTCGCTGCTCATGGAGGATAGTCACACTGGAATCCCTTTTCCTTCATTTCACCCTTCTTTTGTGTGCATATGTAGCCTGAGTGTTTTTTAAGGCAGTAGGTCCAGGACTCCAACCATGCAATAAGCCATGTGGGATCCAGTCACCTTTACCACTACACCACCAGCTAGCCTGCCTAGGCTAGAGATAAGATATTATAAAGGTTTTCAAGGGAACCACCAGTAAGCATAATGGCTATGTCACTGGGCTCCCACGTAGTCGACCGCGGTTCGCGTCCCGGACCTGGTGGCTTAAAACCCACGCCGGGCGCATGTGCATGTGTGCCCAAGATCCGGAGAGGAGAATGGAGGAGAAGGGATTCCGGCGTGACCATCCCTTCTGGGGGGTGATTTCTCGCTTTCTGTCTCTATGTCTCTCTCTGTCTGTCTGGCAAGCGCACGCGCCCTATAGCGAAAACCTCTCAAAAAAAAAAATGTTTTCAAGAGTTGTTTCTTAAAAGATATCAAGGTTTGGAGCCAGCAGGTGGCATGGTAGTTTAGGGCACTGGACTCCCACATGGCCGACAACGGTTTGAGTCCTGGACTTTGCAGCTTGCTTTCTCACTTTCCCTCTCTCTTTCTCACTCTGTCTTTCTCTGGTCAAATTTAAATAAACAAATAAGTAATAAAGTTTTAAAAATATATATCAATGTTCAAATCTAGGAAGTTCATCAAATTCAAGCAAGTTACCAAAAAAAAAAAAAAAAAAAAACTGAGCACCATAGAAGAGGTCTTAAAAGCAGACAGGGGCCCAGCCTCAGTGGTGCTACATACAATGTTGTATACTGGAGGTCATTTAGATGATTGGAATTTCTTCCCATATTGACCTGTACGTGCCAGATATATATAAATATGCTCAGATCCTGTCTCACTGGAAAGGAAGCCTGGCAGAAAGGTCATAGCATTAGGCTCTGTTGCTTTTCTGTCTTTCTGTCTCTCATAGGAGAAAAAAATAATAAACAAATTAAAAAAAAAAATCAAAGTCAGAGTTTCTTAGAAGCCATTATGGAGGCCAGCAGGTGGTGTACTGGTTAAGGTGCTGGATTCCCACATGGCCTACCCTGGTTTAAGTCCTGGACCTGTGGCTTGCTTTCTCACTATCCCTCTCTCTCTTTCTGTCTCTCTCGGGTGAGCATGAAAATAAATCATACTAATAATGAATAAAATTAAATAAATAACTCTTAAAAAAAAAAGAAGTCATTCTGGGGGCTGCCTGATTTGAATCATTTTTGCTCAACCAAACTCTGCTAAATTAAAAGAAAAAGTAATAAAGAAGAGAATTTGGGATAATTTAAGTGAGAGTACTCTAAAACATACGTAAAAGGTACAATATGAACTCAAGTGGAATACTGGACAATAAATCTTTTGTACACAGCATGATAAGGTCAGTGAAAAGAACACAAAAGTATCTGGTTGAAGTGAAACGAGTATAGCTGCTGCTGCTGCTGCTTTTTTTTTTTTTTTTTTTTTGGTGGAGGTTTTTTCCATTCTCCAGAAAGACAGAAAGTGAAAAATTGCCCCCCGGGGGGATGGCCACGCCACAATCCCTTCTCCTCCATTCTCCTCTCAGGATCTTGGGCACGCACACACACATGCCTGGCGTGAGTTTAAGCCACCAGGTCTGGGACTCGAACCGCAGTCGACTACATGGGAGTCCAGTGACCGCCATTACGCTAACTGCTGGTCCCATAAATGAGTGTAGCTTCTTATACAGGGGAGGATGTTCAAATATATTCATAAGATTTTAAACAGCCTCTGTTTTAAGTAAGGTATCATATGCATTATAAATAACAAAAAAATCACTTGGTAGAAAGTATACTTACAGAGCAATAAAGAAATTTATCCTGGTATGCTCATTTATAGTAAATTTAGCCCTCTTGAAATAAACAAAGGTCATAGCCAAAAGATACTACAAGGAAAAAGTTAAAAATTAATATTAACAGTTTGCTTTCATAAATAAAATTGCTCTAAACAGTTAACTTTAAAAACTGCTGAATAATAATAAATAATAAATCACTATTTATCCTTATTATGAAATCACCTGTTTACTTCAGCACTGATTTTTTGGGGGTTTCATCCAAACCTTATGAATAGTGAGAACACAATGGGTCTTCGAAATGTTCATAGAAGATGTGTATTACGAAAAAACTACACATGGATTTAAAATTTTTTTCTACAAAGTAGACTTACACTTTTTTTTTGGGGGGGGGAGAGGTTTTTTGCTATAGGGTACGTGCACTCACCAGACAGACAGAGACAGACAGAGAGACAGAAAGCGAGAAATCACTCCCCAGGGGGGATGGCCACGCCACAATCCCTTCTTCTCCCTTTTCCTCTCGGGATCTTGAGCATGCATGCACACGCACCCGGCGTGAGTTTTAAGCCACCGGGTCCGGGACGCGAACCGCGGTCGACTACATGGGAGTCCAGCGACATAGCCATTATACTAACTGCTGGGGGCATGCGACTTACACTTTAATTCCATTCTTTCCATGAATTTTTGAAGTCCCATTGTAGTTTACCATTTATCATGAGTAACTAGAACAGATTCAGAAATTTTACTATAGCCTATATTTACTGAACAAAAAAATCCATTTAATTTTGTCTAAATTAAATTCCAAACCTACAGCGAAGTTGAAATAGTAAAATGAATAACCATAAATCCTTTACCTAGATTTACCAATTGTTAATATTTTGCAACATTTGTTTGACATCACTACTTGTGAATATATATATGTCATTTTTCTGTTAACCCCTTTAAGTTAGTTGCAGATATCCTATTCTTATCTTATTCTTTTTGTTGTTGTTGTTTTAGAGAGAGAGAGACAGATTTGTTATAGAGAGTATGTGCTTACCAGGAAGAGAGAGAGACAGACAGAGAGGAAAAAATCACGTACACACACCCCCCCAAGGAGGGCTGGCCACACCGCAATTCCTTCTTCATTTTCCTCTTAGGATTTTGGGCATGCACACACACACACACACACACACAAGGCATGAGTTTAAAGCCACCAAGTCACCAAGTCAGACTTCAACTGCAGTTGGCCATGTGGGAGTCCAGCAAAGTAACCATTATGCCATCTGTTGGCCCCTCCTACTCTCTTTTTAAAATGACCTTTAAAAATAACTTTGAGGTGGCTGACCCCACATCTCAGTGTGTAAGCCCTGTGCCTTGGCAGTCTGATGCCAAATGGTTGACTACGGTTCAAATCTCAGCCCACAGGGACTTGGAAAACATACTCGGTATGCTTGCATGCCCCAAATTTTCATGGGATGGGGAAAGAAAGAAAAAGGATTGTGGCATGTGGCATGACTACTTCCCATTGGAAGGTGCTTTCTCTCTCTCTCTCTCTGGTGAGCACAAAAGCCCTCCGGCAGAGGAGGAAGAAGAGGAAGGAAGAAGGGAGAAGGAAGAAGGAAGAAAGAAGGAAAAGGAGGAGGAGAAAGAGGAAGAGGAGGAGAAGGAGAAAGAACGAAAACAAAGAAAAAGAAAGGAAGGAAAGTAAGGAAGGAAGACTTTGAAATGACTTCAGAAGTTAGAACATGGCTCTATTTCCTTGGGGGGAAATGTGTTTTAAATGTACTATTAGGAAAATACATGTCAAGTCTGATATTAGAACATATGCCAGGTTCTGACTGTTCCAATTAAAAACAAGTTAATACTATTGTAACTCATTCTGTCATAACAGGATTGGACACAATGGCGATTGCAAATTTTCATGGTAACTTTTTTTTTCTTTTTTTAGAGGTTTTTGCTATAGGGCGTGTGCACTTGCCAGACAGACAGAGAGAGACAGAGAGATAGAAAGCAAGAAATCACCCCCCAGAGGGGATGACCACGTCACAATCCCTTCTCCTCCATTCTCCTCTTGGGATCTTGGGCACACACACACACGCGCGCCCTGTATGAGTTTTAAGCCACTGGGTCCAGGACTCAAACCGCACTTAACTACATGGGAGTCCAGCGACATAGCCATTATGCTAACTGTTGGTTCCATGGTAACTTTCAATTCAGGAAGCAACCTTAAGATACAGTATTCCTGGTTAGTTAGTTTTCAAACACTGCCCCCTCCTGCCCAGCAACTTTAATGCACTTAAATTGAAGTTTAAAACTACAATTCAACATAAATTGGATATGTGATATTAAAGCATTACTGCTAAGTTTTAGACGTGTTAGTGACATTGTTAAATGTTTTAAAATATCTTTATTTAAATGCCATTGTTTTTATTTTTTTATAACTATTTATTAATTTTTTTAAATAATTATTTTATTTAACTATATTTATTCATTCATTTATTTCATTTTTTAAATTTGACCAGAGAGGGACAGAGCGAGAGAGAAAGAGAGAGAGGGAAAGTGAGAGAGCAAGCCTCCAGGTCCAGGCCTTGAACCGTGGTCGGCCATGTGGGAGTCCAGCGTCCTTAACCACCACGCCACCTGCCGGCCCCAATAACTATTTATTTTACTATTTATTCATTCATTGATTTTTAATTTGACCAGAGAGAGACAGAGGGTGAGAGCGAGAGAAAGAGGAAGTGAGAAAGCAAGCCACCAGGTCCAGGACTTGAACCCCGGTTGGCCATGCGGGAGTGTCCAGCACCCTGACCACCACGCCATCTGCTGGTCCTATTATTTTCTTTTTTATTGACAGAAGGTATGTGTCTCATGGAGGGGGGCAGGGAAAAGAGAGAGAAAGAGATTCCTAATGAGGCACGGTCATTCTGCACTCTTTTACTCCATTTCTCCTTCCCAGCAGGATTATGGGCATGCATGCAAATGGACCCAGCATGTTTTTTTTTTTTTTTTTTTTTTTTTTTGTGCGCCTTGTCACCCGCTGGGGC